AATTGTTTTGATTCACATACAGTAATTTGTTGTCAATATCAACCAATGTTAATGCATTACTTCTGCTGGATCTTATCATAATGACTTGACACAAGTAGCTTGCCTAGTGAACTTCCGCAGAAATAAGAAGAAATCAATTCTCTGTATCCTTCAGAGGCAACACAGAGCTTTACACTCTCCTTAGCTCAACCAAAATGTCAAATAGGCAAGTTGTTAAGAAATAAAGTAATTTATTTTAGATAGAAGAGAATTAAAATACATGTATATTATTTATATTTCTCTAGTTATGCTAAAGTGACATTCTTGGAATGACACTTCTAGGATGTCACTTTTGGAAATGGCATTTTTTATGGTAATAGATTCATTAAAAGATAAAAATGATTTTGTTTAAAAAAAGCAGGAGAAAAACAGAAAACGAATACTTGTCCCTATTACCTTCTGCCTCCTGCTGTTTTATATTACTTCTAGCTGCATTTACGTATCTTGTATCCATACTGTATATTAAAATGTTTTCTATTTTTAATTAATTTTTTTGTATTTCTTCTATCTGGTGTCCTGCTACCACCTCTGACTTACTTCGAATTTACTCAAAATCCAAATTCATTATTTTCTACTCCAAATCACCTTGTTTAGAGGCCTCTTTGATGTTTTTAATGACAGTAAACAGAAGTCTCACTTCCACCAAGTTGAAGGCAATCCTAACATACATACGATGAAGACAGAATGATATTTTTGAAATCCAACGGACACTGTTGCCTGTTGAGGAGACAGAGACTTGAACTAGGTCTCTTTGTTAGACAGGGGGGTATCGAGGGTGAGAGAGGTGTTAGAGATGGACTGGCAGTGCTGAGACTTGATAAAGCCAGAATCTGTGAGAGGACAGACAGCACACTAATTTAGTAAGTGAGTCAACACTTTTTTAAAGGCTTATTTCTGTGCCACCTGGAGTCTGCCTCACTTCTTCATCTGCTTCTGACCTTTAAAATACTACCCAGGCTTTAAGAACAATTCTTACGCTTCTTCCTCTGTGAAGCCTTTTCTGTTCCTAAGGCAGGTGGTTCTCAACTGGGTAAATTGCCCACCCCCCCCAGCCCCACGGGCTTTTGGTTGTCACAGCTGGGGTGGAAAGTGCTACTGGTACCTAGTGGTAGGGGCCCTGGGATGTTGCTACACATCCTACAGGATACAGGTCAGCCCCCAACAAAGAATAATTATCCAACTTGAAATGTCAGTAGTGCGGAGATTGAGAAGCCTTGCTTCAGGAGAATGTAATGTCTTTGTACACTTTCCTTTTTTGTAATGGCTTTTTGTAGAATACCTGCTTAGGTATTTGTTTAATTTCTTTCATTAGAGTATAAACTCCTTGAGGGAAGAAAGCATATATACTTATCTTTTTCTCCTCAGTGTTTGAACACTCAAGAATGACGATTAAGAGAAACAAATGCATAATAGAGCTTGTAGTAAAAAACTATTTAGCAGAAGTGTAATTTAATATTTAAAAAAATCTCATCAAACTCAGGGAATATTTTATTTCTCAATTTTGTTCAGTTATAGAATCTCGAGCTTGGAAAAGACCTAAAAAGTAATCTAGTCCAACTGCTCTTCGTTACCAAGGGACTTCTTCTGATTTCCTAAATACTGAATTGAAATTCAATTGCAATCGTCCTCAGTTGCCAGACTGTGAAATTGGTATTTCCTCATTTAGACATTATCAGAATATATGGTGGCCCTCTGTGCATAGCTATATACTGTGTGTGTGATTCATTAAGAATATTAATTGCAGAAAAAGGCACTAGATGGTATATTCCTTTCAACCCTGAGAATCAGTGATTTAAACTGCTAGCTTTTCTAATATATTTACTTACTATATAAGGCAAAAAGAGAGTACACAGTATGATTCTTCTGCATAAATGTTTGGTTTATGAATTTCTCATTAACCCAGGGGTATTTAATCTTCTACATCTAATAAATTCCTACCCATTAATTACTTAATGCCAAAGACACCCTTGATTTTTTTTTTTTAAAGATTTTATTTATTATTTGACAGAGAGAATGAGAGAGAGAGAGCACATGAGAGGGGGGAGGGTCAGAGGGAGAAGCAGAGTCCCCGCCGAGCAGGGAGCCCGATTCGGGACTCGATCCCGGGACTCCGAGATCATGACCTGAGCCGAAGGCAGTCGCTCAACCGACTGAGCCACCCAGGCGCCCCGACACCCTTGATTTTTACTTAATGATTAGTACATTCTAATTGCAACCCTTTTGTTGAATTCTTGCAGAACTTTCCCCCAGTATTATTGGTTGTCTACCTTATCATGACCTTAAGGACAAAAAAGGTTATATCTTTTTTTTTATTATTATTTTTTTAAATTTTATTTTATTATGTTATGTTAATCACCATACATTACATCATTAGTTTTGGATGTAGTGTTCCATGATTCATTGTTTGCGTATAACACCCAGTGCTCCATTCAATATGTGCCCTCTTTAATACCCATCACCAGGCTAACCCATCCTCCCATGCCCCTCCCCTCTAGAACCTTCAGTTTGTTTCTCAGAGTCCATAGAAAAAAGGTTATATCTTAAAAAAAAAAAAAATCCTACCATGTACCTAATATAGTGGAAAGCTCACACGCAGCAGACAACGTCTGTCAGTGGTGGAACTGGAGTTCTCAGATACTTGAAAGTTAAAAAGAACACTTTCTACTCATATATGGAATCCTGTAGGTAACTTTTAAACAACTCAGGAAAGAAATATCAAGCTCAGTGGACATTTCAATTAATAAGATGGAAAGATGAGATTCAAAAATGTTATGGAAGACAAAAGCATGTGAAGAGCAAATTGTAAATGGGTACATTTTAACTAAAAGGTACTGACATTTCATTAAACAAAACTATATTACTATCGATAGAAAATCATAAGGAAAAATATTACCATGTACTGGCATTTTTGGAAAGAAGAACCTTTATTACCAATAGTCGAATTAAAACATTGTTTATAAGTTATGGCTAAAGATTATTTTACTGTTCTTGAAATATAGTTAATTGTTACTCAGATGCAGAAAATGTGATTTCTAGACCCGGCTTTGTACTAATTGCCACTGCAACTTTGGACAAATCACTTAACCCTACTGGAATTCCCTTTTCATTTTAGAAATTTATGAGAGCTGGACAGTTTGTTTCTAAGACTGCTTCCAACTTTAATCTTATATTTGTCTGAAGATTTGTAGTTAAAACTTCTTTCCCATACATTATATCATTTTATCATCTCAACGGCTTTGGAAGGAAAGCGTAGAAAGCATTATTATTTTCCTTTTACTAATGAAAAAATAGGCTCAAGCTGTTACCCAAGCCTGGTAGGTAGCAACCCAGTACTGTTTCTAAGATAACTCCCCAAAATTCTGTTTCTGAGAGTACATATACAGTTAATCTTTTAAAATGTCTTTAACTTTCAAAAAAGTAGACTCTCAAGGATAAATGTAAGCTTCATAATGTTAAAAAGGTATAAACATTTACATCTGATGGTTTGAGCCAGGGATAGCCAATAAGATTCAATGCACATGTCAACTCCTATTGATTGCTAGTAGCTGCCTGAAGTGTTATGCTGAGAATAATTTTGAGGCCAAGTTTGGGCTCATTGGGAAAGTGTGCCATGTTAGATTAATGAGGAACATTGTGGATGTTGGAGAGGGGAGTGGTGGCAGAACTACTTATGGGGGAAAGGGTCTTTTAAAGAAATGACTTCAGTACTTAGTAATGTTTTATGAAGGGTCTGATATTGACTTGCCTTATATTGAGTTTTGTAACTAGTGTTATCAGAAAAGTTTAATTGATTTGTATCATGCACGTTTTCATAAATAATGGTTTCTTTTTCAAGTTAAAAGAGTGTCCTTAAAGTTAGTTTGAGTATTTCTATTTGTAACCATAACTGTGAAAGAATGTAGAGGTTGCTTCTAGTTAGTTTTAATGAAATGCAACTTTGCAGCTTGATCTGAAAAGTTGAGGGCATTAAATGTACTTTATATAGATATATACACACATATGCACATCAACATGTTTGTTATATAGATATTTATTATATAAGTTTGCATGTATTATATTTGGTATTATATATGGTATTAACATATATAATTTGGTGTTATATATGGTATTAACATAATAATACCAAAGTTATAGTTTATGTAATAAATACATATTATGATTTGTAAAAACGAATAGTCTCTGGATTATTCGATATAAATATGTGTTAAACCACTCTAAGAAAGGTTAAAGACATTGTGAATCAGTGGCTGCAATTTATTAACTGCCTGATGGTTGCTCTTCATCTTTCACAGTGATACATGCTTTATATCCTCTTTACCTACTAAGCTTTACAGTACTTTTTAAAAGTTAGGCTTGATTATTTCCTTTCAAGCAATGAAAACCTAAACCTTAGAGAAATTTAGTAATCCTCCAAGGTGATATGGCTGAGAATGTTGTAAAGCCAGAATTTAGGCCAACTTTTGTCAGGTTTCAAAGTCTGTAACAAAATCAGATCATGCCTAGCTGAAATTTGAAGGTTCAGATATTTCCCACTGGTGGTCTATATTCTATATATATCTGAGGACAACTTTTGGATTTTAGTTTCACTGTCTTAACTTGTACACCATTAGAGGAGAAAATGGGGGCATACCAAAAAGGAGAACTGTTACTCTCCAGTATTTGCCAATGGGATGCCAATGAGTTGTTTTTCTGTAAAGTGTAATGTTTTGTCTAATAAGCACTGGTCTGGGTTTAGAGGATTTACTTTAAATTGAGATAAAAAATGTCCCTGAATAATTTTTATCATAGGGGAAATATATATGAATTATACTTTCATGCTATTCATGCACTTAAGTTCGGTTCAGAAAAAAGTACCTTGTGATTTGGCAAAATACATTATTTTATCAGCAGAAGCATGTAAAAAGGTCATAACTTAACTGAAGCCATAAATGTAATTGAGAATGTCATTTTCTTTTTTCCAGATTCCTTGGTGTTACTCAGTTTTCGCCTACACATGCCAGAAAGGCATTTCCTTGTTTTGATGAGCCAATCTACAAGGCTACTTTCAAAATTAGCATCAAGCATCAAGCAACCTATTTATCTTTATCCAATATGCCAGTGGAAACTTCCGTGTTTGAGGAAGATGGATGGGTTACGGATCACTTTTCACAGACCCCTCTCATGTCTACATATTATTTAGCCTGGGCAATCTGCAACTTCACATACAGAGAAACTACCACCAAGAGTGGGGTTGCAGTAAGTATTTTAAACTTAAATATGTTTTTAGATAATGTACACACTGTATAGTAATCTGATATCTGGATTAACACTGAATCATTTTTATCCTCTTCAGGTCTTATATAGCTAAATTCTTTTGTTAACCCTTGGGGGTGGGAAATTATCTTCCTGGTTTCTAGAGTCAAAGAGGACTGTCTTTTCCATACCCAGCCCTCTTGTCCCTTTCGCCACCTCCCCCACCCCCACCATCCCTGTCCCTCTTCATCTTCTGAGTATTTCTGAAACAACTGTTGTCTGCTTTTGGAAATTGCTTTTTATTTATATGACTTGGAAAGCTGCTGCTTTTTATTGTGAAATATTTCAAATATCCAGAAAATGTAAAGAATAATATAATAAACTTCACAGGCCTACTAGCCAGCTCTAGAGAATCTAAACGTTTTATCATCTTTGCTCTAATCTAATTTAGTTTTTGAGAAAGTAAAACATATTGGATAGAGTTGAAGCCCTCTGTGTGCACCTGCCTGATCTCATTGCCTTGCCTCCTCCTTTAGAGATAACTACTGTCCTGAGTTTGATGTTTGCTATTTCTATGCATATTATCACACAATTACCAAGCATGTGTATATATATATTTCTACAATAGATGCCATGCTTTAAAATTTCATATAAGTGGTTTATATTATAGATATCATTCTTTAAGTTATTTTTATTTCATTTTAATTTTTGATTAAAATTACATTTTTGTGGTTTATCTGAATAGAATGGGTTGAGTGAAGATATCAAAATCTGTCATCCTCCTATAGATAAACATTTTAATTTTTCTGATTAACAACAATGCTCAGTGAACATTTTTGTCCATGAGTTCTTCTGCCAATGTGCTAGGATTTCTGTAGGGTTGTAAAGCTTCTTTTAGCCCGCAACACCCAAGTGTATAGAAATACAGTCTTAGGGGAGCATGACATATGGGAAGCCTAGAGAAGACATGCTCTGCATTTAATTTATAATAAGAGTCAATTGGACTTTCTGTGATAACTGTCATTTGTGACAGCAAGGTTCTAAGCATTTTTTGCATGCTGTTGGATTGTACTAGTCAGGCTAGGTCAGGCCATGCTGAGTTAACAACTTCCTCCTCATTTCAATGGCTCACACAATAAATATGCATCTATTTTAGTTTTTATGTTGCCCCTAAAGCAAGGTATTATGATTCTGGTTTTCCAGATGAATAAAGTAAATTGAGGTTTAAAGACCCAGAGTCAAAAAGTAAACAAGTGGTAGAGCTGCAAGACAAACTTTTGTTGGTCTGATCCCAAATTTTGGGCTTTCCTGCCATGTGCCCTGGGAACTCTGTTTCGTCTTTTCAGCTGTATGTCTGTAAAAGAATTCAAGTAATGATTCTCCCTATCTGGTGGCCATTGTATTTGAACGCAACAAAAGGAATTAATAGAAACCTATATTCTTGTTCTGTAGAAAGTTCATAGGTCTATAACAACCTAAATTTTGAAAAATAGGTTTGGATAAATAAATTTTTCTCAGTGTTACTTTCAATTTAAATCACTGTGGAACCTATTTAAAAAGTAAAATCTGCCTCCATAAAAAATTAATGCCATTATTTGAAGAGCTGTGTATAGTGAATTAATCTACATAATCATTAAAATTAGGTTCTAAATGCTGGCTTTAGAGGGCCAGAAGACATTTTGCTCTTCTGGACTTGTACTCGTTTGATATGTTGAGTTCCTCTGATGTTTGTTGATGTCTCCTATGGATACTTGAAGGCTGTACATGTTGGACGACACACAGAAAAGGAACACCAAGACATCTCATTTACTTTGATGTCTTCAAAAGTTGATGGCTGGCTTGCTGTGCGTCAGCTTGCAGCATAGGCACACTGGCACTGTTTTTTCTAGTATGTTTTCTTTAAAGCATCTTAAAAGTGTTCTCAGCCCTACACAATTAAGCTTGTTGCTAAGTGACCCATATTTAAAACCGGACACACTCTAATTATTTAGATGTGACTTTTATTAGAGTTAAGAATCCAAGTAATTAGCAAACATTTTAAAATTCCTGCTTAATAATTTTTATGTAGAAAAGATAAAACATGCTACCAGAGAACATCGAAAGGTCAACTGAAATAAAATTTTAGATTGTATAATCTAAAAATGCTAAGGATAATAAAAAGGAAAACAAAATTGCCACTGGGAGCCCTTATTTATCAACTGTGGAAATACACTTTAAAACCTGGCTCTTTTTTTTGGTGACCCCTTGGATATCCAATCTATTTTTATTTTCATTGCATTTCCTCTTTATTACTGGGGAGGAAGACATGGGAATCACATTTCTGAACTCTTAGCAGCTGAAGGGAGTGGAAGTTTAGCTTTAGGATCTTGGGGTGGGACAGTCATGTGAAATCCAGGTGGTCATTTTGGATCAGAAGCTGATGCAGTTTTCTTTGAGATATGAGAGTATAACTAGAGTAGCATCTTAATAATTTACAGCTGAATTGTAACAGTGCCTCAAGTGTGTATTTGAAGCATCATCATTTACTTCTCAAGTTTTCTATACTTTGCAAGGCACTATGCTAAGTAATTAGAAAGGTAAAAAACTTTAAGATCCTTCTAGTAGAGTGATTGCATGTGCATCTTTCCAATGGAATCCAAGCTGGTAGACATATTTTGTTTACCCATCCCTAAAAGGCTTAATATTTTTGTAATTAATGGTCGATATTTAGAAATTGAGAGATTGCACATAAAATTATTTATTTCTGGCTTCTCTTGAAAAATGGGAAGATCTTGGGTTCACATTCCCACTTGGCAATAATTGTTCACTCATTTATTCCTTCAGCAAATACTTACTGATTGAGCGTCAGGTGTTGTTCTGGGCTCTGGTGATATAGCAAGAAACAAAGCAACAAGGTTTCTATTCTCAGGGAACTTACATTCTAATGAGGAGAGAGTGACAATAAACAAATGAATGTATATCAGGTGGTAATATTTGCTATGAAGAAAATCAGTGGCTGTAGCTGGATGGTGACTAACCCATTTATATGAAGCATTTGCTTCCTAGTGTAACCTAATTCAGACCACTTTTTTCTTCTGCACCATGTCAACTTCACTGTTGTATATTACCTGCTTTCTTTCTGTAAGTGTTTGGATTTTCAACCCTTGTCTAGGGACATAATTCAAGAGGGTAGCCAAGGAATATGCATCAGAAAAGCAATGAATTCACTAATTGTGTCTTAGTGATACTGGCATTCACTAATTGTGAAATGAAAGTTGTAGAAAATCAAGACCGTTTAGAAGAGGGAGAAATTGCTAAGGCTGGAGTCTAATGATGTGCTTCATGGTGGAGATGGGACTTAATATGACAGTGAATGATGGTTTGGTCTTAGAAAAGCAGATGATGTGTGCATATAATCCTTGGTGGGAAATGTTACTAAGAAAAGACAAAGAGTTGGGATATCTACAGGATATCTATGGGAGATAGTGTATGGTTATTATGATCATAAACATCATCACTTCTGCTGCATTCTAGTGGTTACAAGTAAGTCACTAAGGATGGTTCTGATTTGCTGGAGGAGGGCATATATCCCACCTCTTGATAGGGAGTGTCAGAGAATTTGTGCACAAGTTTTCAAATCAGTACATCTCTCTCGGGCCACAAATTATTTACATTCATCTCATGTACAAAATATACTCACCAGTAGGTCTCACTGCATTATAACATCAGGTTGAAGTCTGAGATCCAGGATCTCACCATCAAATTTAGGTCTCGGTGTAGATGAGACTATTTGGGTTTCGTTTCTTGAACATGGTTTCTCTTGCTCTGAAGACCTGTTATCTATCTTCTCTCCCCCAATAGACAATGGCGAGATGAGAATATGATTATTTCAATAGGATTTTCCATTCAAGAATGGAGAAAATGGGAGGACATAACAGTCACTGGCCCATAGCAGTTCTGAAATCCAACTGGGCACATGTTGACAATTTTAAAATTATGAGTTAGTGCTGTTCCCTGTGAGTTGTCCTTCCCGGCACTTGGCCCCATCATGTGGCCTCTTAGTTTTGCCTTTTAATGCATCTTATCTTTTGTAATTAAAAATTAGTTTGTGTCTGCAATTGAATAGCTTACTCAGCTTGCTTCCTATCAATAAAAAATTAGGGGTCCAAAGGCTTATTTATTTATTTATTTTTGTATTGGCTCTGTTGCTTTAAGTCAAAACAGGTATAATTTTTTTTAAAAGATCTTATTTATTTATTTAAGAGCGAGTAAGCGAGAGAGAACACGAGTGGGGTGAGAGGCAGAGGGAGAAGCTGACTCCCCACTGATCAGGGAACCCAACTTGGGACTTGATCCCGGGACTCCAGAATCATGACCTGAGCCAAAGGCAGACACTTAACCAACTGAGATGCTAACCCAGGTATAACTATTTTTTTAAAAAACTTGATCTTTTTGTGTATCAAGTTATATCCATTCCATTAGACAAAACTAAACCATGGGTCTCTTTAATATGAGCCTTTGTCTACTGTGAGGCTTTGTAAAATAATGCTCATAACACTCTTAGATGCTCTGTTACTGAACAGAGAAGTTTTATAAGGCACCACCTTAATGTCTTTAGAAAACCTCTTGTCTGTTTGAAAAGGTTTGAAGGGCATCATTTTAAAAGTGTCTGAAGTCCTAACAGTTCCTGAAGTTGGGTCCTTGGCTTCATCTTTAGATCATCTTTTCCTGATAGTGACCTATATTTTTCCTCCCTGAGTTCAGTTTCTTACTTTGAGAATCTCTTGCCTTCTGGAGAGGCTGGGAAGGAGAAGAATTTAATTTCAAGCTCAGTAAGTCCTATTCCAAATTTTGCTTGGAAACTGGACAGTTTGTTCTTAAACTCATCTCTCCTGTTTTGGATTTTTTATGGCCAGAGAGAAGGCGTTGGCGTCACTTTCCGTATTCTACTTGAAAGTCTTCTGAGCTAGGAAATACAGTTTAATATTTGTATTTCTTATTTTCCATAGCATTACAGGCAGCAG